CCCGGCTATTTTTTGGTTGCAGCCGTCATTGTTGTTTGGCGGGTCCGGGCTGGGGATTCGAACCCGCCACCTTTGGTGTACGTGGCTGGCGCCTTAGCCGGTTGAGCTATAGGCGCTGAGCCAGTTTTTGTATTTTTAATAGAGTAGGGTTTTACTATTGTTCAGGCTGGTCTCAAACCCATGAGCTCAAGCAATCCACCCTTCTTGGCCTCCCAGAGTGCTAAGATAACAGGCATGAGCCATCATGCCCGGCCTAATTTTTGTATTTTTAGTAGAGAAGGGATCTTGCTCTTGTTCAGGCTGACCTCAAACTCCTGAGCTCAAGGGATTCTTCTGCCTCAGCCTCCCAAAATGCTAGGATTAAAGGCATGAGCCACTGCTCCAGGCCTTGTGTGGTCTTACCTTTAAAAATGAGCCCATTGGACAGCGCCTATGGCTCAATGGAGTAGGGTGCTGGCCCCATGTGCCGGAGGTGGCGGGTTCAAACCCAGCCCTAGCCAAAAATTGCAAATAAATAAATAAATAAAAGTGAGCCCACATCTTGCACCTATGGTGGAGCTAATGTGGGGCCACTAAGGGAAAAATCTAGAGCATTATTTGGGGTCATCCTGCAAGGGTATGTGTCCAGGGAAGAGGATTCCCATCTCTGAAAAGAAAGCATTCTCCTAGTTACTAAGGCTAACTACAATTTATTTCAGTGCTGGGGGATAGACGCGAGTGAGGGGAATGGTTTACTTGTTCCTTATCTGGGCTTTTTTTTTTTTTTTGAGACAGAATTTGTTGCCCCCAGTAGAATGCTGCGGTGTCACAGTTCACAGCAACCTCCAGCTCTTGGGCTTAGGTGATTCTCTTGCCTCAGCCTCCAGAGAAGCTGGAACTATAGGCGCCTGCCAAAATGCCCAGCTATTTTTTTTGTTGTTGTTGCAGTTTGGCCAGGGCTGGGTTTGAACCTGCCACCCTCAGTATATGGGGCCAGTGCCCTTCTCACTGAGTCACAGGCACTGCCTATCTGGGCTATTTTCTTGGCAGATCTCAAAGGAGACCATGGTGAGGAGGGAGGTGGGGGAACTGGGCTGGGGCCAAGGGAAGAAGCTTGCCAGCACTGTCAGCTGGCAAACCCAGGAGAAGCTGAGCCTGGTCTCTACCCTTTTCTCTCCTTTTCCTGGCCCTGCCAGACTCTATCTCCCTGGGCGCCAGCCTCTACCCACCCCTGGGAGGGCGGGGCTTGGCTGCACCCACGTGTGGCAGAGTTAAATGCTCCTGCCCGCAGAAGAGCTGGGGAGTGTAGCACTGAGTCTGCATAGGCAGAGAAGCAGAACCATGGCTGGCAAGAAAGTCTGCATTGTAGGCTCCGGAAACTGGTAAGTGGTTCTGTTAAGGGACGTGGGGGAAAGGTGGGTCCTCCTAAGTACAGACTAAGAGGGAGGCTTGATGTGTAGGAGTCAGAGAGTGGGTAGGAAATGCCCTCAGGTTCCTGTTTGGCCCCTACTGCTGTCATCTGTGCCTTATAGGCGCAGGACAGACAGTGCCCAGGCTTCTTCTGGCTCCTGCCTGCCTGGGTAGCTGCACCTGTTTGCCTTAGACAAGTCTCCAGGGCACGCACTCTGAAAATCTGCATAGGGTGAGGGAGAGACCAGAAGTCTGGCCCCATTCTCTAGCAGCAAAGGGTGAGGTGGACTACTTCCTATTGCTAGGTCATTGAGGGCACCCTTGTCATGGGAATGGGAATGGCACAGACAGTGGGAGTAAATAATCTGGTGGGCTGCTGTGAGATGCTGAGATGGGCACTGCCCCAACCCCTGCTGTTGTTCCCTCCCTTACTCCATTTTTCTATGCTCCCCCTCCTGCCAGGGGCTCTGCCATTGCCAAGATTGTGGGTGGCAATGCAGCCCAGCTGGCACACTTTGACCCACGGGTGACCATGTGGGTGTTTGAGGAAGATGTCGGAGGCAGAAAACTGACGGAGATCATCAACACACAGCATGAGAATGTCAAATATCTGCCAGGGCACAAGCTGCCCCCAAATGTGGTGAGCCCTAAAACCTTGCAAGGAAAGGAGAGAAGGAAGCAGAGGGAGGGAGAACCAGGAGCACAGATCTTACTCAAGAGGTGCCTCTTGCTGAGAGGGGGCTGCTTCAGGTGCAAACTGGACTTGGGAAGCATCTCAGGAGGACTACTCTGGGCACTTCCAGGGACTGAGGAGAACTTGAACATACCTCCCCTACTTACAGGCTCCCAGATGGGTGGGTGGGGAAGGGACGTGAAAAGAAGCCTGTCTCCTTGGCAACCAAAGAGTAGGCTCCCAGACTTGGGATCCAGGTAGTGCCTGCCGCAGGCTCTAACCCTGTTACTCATTCACTGGGTTTATCAACGGACTTGGAGGCTGCTCCTTGGACTTATGGTCTTTGGTCAAATCCATGCAACTCTCTCTTTACCTGGGGAGGGGGAGCAGGGGAGAGCAGAAAGACTGGAGCTCTCCCTTCCCAGCTGCCAGCCCTAGGGAGCAGGATGATGAAATCTCACTTGGTTTCTTCCTTCTGCCAAGCTCTGGCCACCTTTGACCTCCCTCACTGTATCACAGCCAAAGAACAGAAATTCTGAGAGAAGGTTTCTAGTCCTCAAGAGCCCAGGACAGCTGGAGTGAGAGAGAAGAAGTGATGATGGCTGGGGGAGGGAATAGAGTATCTTGTTCCTCTAAACTCAATCCCAAACTACCCTTCCTTCTCCCACACCATCCCCACTCTTTGGCTTCTAGATATCCTGAATGGGGTTCCACAGGGGCTAGGAGAGCTCTGCCAGGGCTATGAGTACCTGGTCACCCCCACAGGTGGCTGTTCCAGATGTGGTCCAGGCTGCAGTGGATGCTGACATCCTGATCTTTGTGGTGCCCCATCAGTTCATTGGCAAGATCTGTGACCAGCTTAAGGGCCACCTGAAGGCAAACACCATTGGCATATCTCTTATTAAGGTGCCAGGGACACCCTGATGTGGGTTTGGGAGGGTGCAACTGTTATGGGGTTTGAGGAAAGAGAATGTGAAATGGCAGATTTAGGCCAAGAGTTTTCCAGAGAAGAGAGAGGAATTGACTTTGAGATGCTATAGACAGCAGTCAGGCTGGGGCTGCTGGAAGGGAGGCTGGAGGGAAAGTCGATTAGAGATTGGTCTGAAGGCCAGTGTCTTCGGGGAGTTTGGGAGGTACAGAGGGATGCCTGGGGGATATGAGAAGTGGGATGGTTTGAGGAGTGTGAAAAGGAAGTTGGTTTGGAGCACTGACATCGCTGAATGGAAGTTTGTTTGCTGTAGTCAGGAGAGGGTTGTCTAGGGACATGGAGGGAACACATTGCTTTGGAGAGGCAGGTCAAAGGTATGTGGCAGGTGAGCTTTCCACATGCTGTCCACCCTCCTCATAGCAAGTTTTAGCTGGGTTGGATGGTCAGGACTTCTGGGAGGGACAATGATGATCAGTGGATTTGGAAGAAACAGGAATTCTGGGTGGGAAGCCCTCAGTTGGGCATAAAAGGGCACCTGGCCTGAGCTTCATCCTATGCCCAGGGGGTAGATGAGGGCCCCAATGGGCTGAAGCTCATCTCCGAAGTGATTGGGGAGCGCCTTGGTATCCCAATGAGTGTGCTGATGGGGGCCAACATCGCCAGTGAGGTAGCTGATGAGAAGTTCTGTGAGACAACCATTGGTAAGAGGCCCCTGCTTCCCACATACACAGGCAGCTCTAGCTGCATCCACTCCCCATACTCTCTTCCAACCTCATTTAGTTGTCTCTTTCCTATAAGGCAGGTAAAGGAAGAAGACCCAAGCATTAGAGGAGAGGGAGGTTGGGGCACCCCTCAGGGAAGGGGCTGCAGGTCCTGCTTAGGGCAGGTGTGGGAAGAACAGTTCAAGAGTCCCTATTCAAGCCTTGTCCCTTCCCTACTTTAGGCTGCAAGGACCCAGCTCAGGGACAAGTTCTGAAAGAACTGTTGCAAACACCAAATTTCCGTATCACAGTGGTGCAAGAGGTGGACACAGTTGAGATCTGTGGGGCCTTAAAGGTGAGAAGGGCACAGAGGCAGCTAAGGGGGAGGAAGGAGATCCTAAAGGAAGGCCAGCTTAGCTCTGTGAGGTGCTGGGACTCATTCCAGAGCAGTTGCTCCCTTTTCCCACCAAGTCCCATACACACAGGAAGAACTGCAGAAGCAAGGCCAAGGTCATTCAGGCCTGTGGATTACTCACATCAAACATTAGACCCCCTCCTCCTTTCCCCCATTAAGCCCCTTGGGGGACAGTCCTATCTCAGGGGATGCCCAGGCTAATGGGAAGCAAGACAGCCAAGCCCTCAGACAGACTGATGGTCAGAACTATGGATCCTGGACAGCTATAGACATGAGGGCTTTAGCATTGTTGTGGACGGGGGTGGTGCCTGTAGCTCAGTGGGTAGGTTGCTGGCCATATACACCCAGGCTGGCAGGTTTGAACCCGGCCTGGGCCAGCTAAACAACAATGACAACTGCAACAAACAAATAGCTGGGTGTTGTGGCAGGTACCTGTAGTACCAGCTACTTGGGAGGCTGAGGCAAGAGAATCACTTAAGCCCAAGAGTTTGAGGTTGCTGTGAGCTGTGATGCCACCGCACTCTACCAAGGGTGACATAGTGAGACTCTGTCTCCAAAAAAAAAAACAAAACAAAAAACAAAAAAGTGGGAAAACCCAGAGGTGGAAATACTTTGGGAGCACATACATTAGACTTAATTCATGCAGAGGGTGTGTCATAGCTAATATAAGGAGCATGAGGCAGGTGCTGAGAGCTCCACTAGGGCCTGTAAGAAGACCCTTTCTTACCTATGACCTCTACTCCCCCAAGAATATAGTGGCTGTAGGAGCTGGCTTCTGTGATGGGCTGGGCTTTGGTGACAATACCAAGGCAGCAGTGATCCGGCTGGGACTCATGGAGATGATCGCCTTTGCCAAGCTCTTCTGCAGTGGCCCTGTGTCCTCTGCCACCTTCTTGGAGAGCTGCGGTGTCGCAGACCTCATAACTACCTGTTATGGAGGGCGGAACCGCAAGGTGGCAGAAGCCTTTGCCCGTACAGGAAAGGTAAGCTCTGGGAGAAAGAATAGAGGGTGGGCCCTGTAGGTGTCAATGTAGTGGAGGTGCTCAGTGGGAGGCATCTCTTGAACACAAACAGTAAGACTATTATTGGGTTGGTGCCCATAACTCAGTGGTTAGGGTGCTGGCCACATACACTGAGGCAGGAAGTCTGAACCCGGCCTGGGCCTGCTAAACAACAATGACAACTACAAGAAAAAAATAGCCAGGCATTGTGGTGGGCACCTGTAGTCCTAGCTACTTGGGAGGCTGAGGCAAGAGAATTGCTTAAGCCCAAGAGATTGAGGTTGCTGTGAGCTGTGATTCCATGGGACTCTACCAAGGGCGACATAGTGAGACTCTGTCTCAAAAAAAAAAAAAGAAGACTATTATAAACATTCCTACCCCTTCTTTCCACCCAAGACCCCACCGCCCATCTAAGCCCCAGACTTCCCACCTCATACTGAGAACCTTTCTCTCCCACTTCCCTCCACTCATCTTGTTTTCTGCACAGTCCATCGAGCAGTTGGAGAAAGAGATGCTGAATGGACAGAAGCTGCAGGGGCCCCAGACAGCCCGGGAGCTACACAGTATCCTCCAGCACAAGGGCCTGGTGGACAAGTAAGTTCTAGCCATGGCCCTACTGGTAGAGGGAACCATAGCCAGAAGTTCCCCCTGTTTATCATCTTCCTGAACCCTCCATGTGTGAAGTGGACAGGGAGGGGAATGTTACCTTAAGTTGCAGACAAAGTGTCTAGAGCTTGGAGCGAGTCTGGTATGCCCATTGTCCCCCAGCTAGTTCATGGTCTTTGAACTCCTTCCAGTCTAGTGCTCTTTACACTACATTACTTGCATCCCTCTGCATCCTTTCCTCTTTGTCCTATGCTCCAGGGGTTGGAGCTGAGGCAGCAGAATAAGCTTATCTCATTGTCCTGCCTCTCTGTCCATCACCCCTAGTCTGAGTCTCTCCCCCAAGGCCAACCTTTCTGTCTTGGGTGCTGAGGTGTAAGGAGAAGGATGAGCTTTGCTTCGAGGTGCTCCTTTTCAGGGAGCACAAAGACAGCAGGGGTGACTGGGCAAATCAGAGCAGAGCTCTGTTGGGTCTGGGAAAAAATCCTAGAAGAGGCAGCACCTGTAGCTCAGTGGGTAGGGCGCCAGCCACATACACTGAGGCTGGAGGGTTCAAACCCAGCCCAGGCCAGCTAAAACAACAATGACAACTGCAACAACAACAAAAATAGCCAGGCGTTGTGGCGGCCAACTGTAGTACCAGCTACTTGGGAGGCTGAGGCAAGAGAAGCCTAAGAGTTTGAGGTTGCTATGAGCTGTGATGCCATGGCACTCTACCCAGGGTGACAGCTTGAGACTCTGTCTCAAAAAAAAAAAAAAAAAAGAATCCTGGAAAAGCGTATGAAACAGGTTCCAAAGATCAGCTCATATCTGGTCCAGGTAAAGCCTCCTAGAAAGGGGGCAGTTGAACAAAAGGATAGGAAGGAGGAAACTGGCATTTATTGAGTATTTTCATATAATATGTAATCATCACAATCATACAATGTATAATCTTCACATACATAATCATATCTTCACAACTTTGTTATGTTGGTCCCTAATTTATGGTTGATGACACTGAGGCTCAGAGTGGTTAAGCGGGTTGCCCAACTGGAACAAAAATTCAAGCCAAGGAATCATGTAGGCAAGTTCAACATGTTTAGGAGCAGGGTAATTAGCAACCTGACCCTAAAATCCAAATCTAGGGAGTTTAGACTCTCAACAGGTGGAAACTGAGAGCCAGAGTCTGCCTGAGCTCCAAGTGGGAGGGTAGGGGCTTGGAGGGTTAGGTGGTGAATGGGGGATTGGGAGTGTGGGTAGAGGGTGGACCAGAAATAGAAGCCTAAATTGAGACTTTTCCTTTCCACTCTAGGTTCCCTCTGTTCATGGCTGTGTACAAAGTGTGCTATGAGGGCCAGCCAGTGGGTGAATTCATCCGCTGCCTGCAGAACCATCCAGAACATTTGTGAGTGGGGCCAGGGCCCAGGCCAGGCAGCTTCTTTACCCCATTGGAGATTGGCAGAAACTTGGGGCACATAGTCACCAGGCTCTCCGGGACTCCCCATGGAACAGAATCTTCTCAGCTTTTCTTTGGAGGACAGGAGGCTGTGGGGCCCAGCTCTGCACCTGGAGGTCCTGAACTGCCAAGCAGCCTGCAGTCTCCTACTACTACATCTTGTCAGAAATGGAGCTGCCATGTCCCTTTCCAGATGTGGGGCTTTTTTCCTATCCTCTGGGAAGGGTAGAATCAAGCCTCAGTGCTTCCTGCTTCAGGTGTATGTGTATGGGGGAGAGTGGGGATAGAGGACATCAGTGCAGGGGCTGCTGGTTCCTCCCTCACACAGACCAGGGATCCTGTTAAATGGCTAAAGAAATACTTGAGCAACAGGAGGGATGAGGTAAGGGCTTCCAGGGAGAGGTTTGGGCTTTTGAGCTGACAGAGGACCCACGGACCCCTTGACTGACCTCTGCCAGGCCCCCATAGCTTCAGTGGATCTCAATGTTTGTTAACAAAATACAAAGATCTCAAACAACCCCCTTCTAGCTTCTCCTAGCAACACCTGCGTCCTCAGAAACCTCTGGTCATCCCCTTTGCCCTTCCCCCAGGCTGCTCTGGCACCAGAGTTGTTGCCATGCTGGCATCTCTGGCCTAGTGGCTTGCCATTCCCCCCAGGGACTTCCTGGTTCCTAGTTCTTTGCCAGCTCCTCCCACCCTATGTGACCTTTCCTAGCCTTCCCTCACCCTCCCCACCAGCACCCTCTTTGGGGAGCAGGAACTTAATCTGCTGACAGAACTACACTTTTGCAAAGTAGGCTCAGATCACTAGGCTCCCTGTGACCTTTGTATTTACCCTGCCTCTCTTCTTAGTAGCTCTAGCTGGGGGAGGTGTCAGCTGGTCCCCTCCTGCTGCTGTCTTCCCAGAGGACATCCTTGCTCTGTCCTCTTCCTCCTCCCAATCCTGTGTACCTTTTTCTTACCTGCCCCAGACTGGCCAGGGAAGCTAACCAGCACCTGGTGTCTGGAGGCCAGGGGGCCAGAGTGGGCAAAGGTGGGAAAAGTAAGCAGGTTCCCATGTTGGTGGGTCCTGGTAGCCCAAGGCCAGCTCTCTTTATGCTTAACAAGGGCCCCCCATGAGGTGTTGTCCCCATCAACAATTCAGCAGTAACAAACTCAAAAAGGAGGAAGAAAATAAAAACCAGCCTTCTCCTGGGGTGAGAGAAGAGCAGCAGAGAGGGAGGGAGGGGAGTGTGCTTTGGACTAGCCTTGTTTCAGAACGAGGTGGCAGCAGGGGAATGTCATGGGTCAGCAGCCTAAGCCCTCAGCTATAATTAGTCCCCTGGGGCCTGGGAGGCTCCTGTGTCCAGGTCCATCCAGCAGAGGTCAGCTTCCTGTGTGGCAGCACCTGGCACACTGTGGCTCTGGCAGCATTATGTTAACCCTTAACCCTCCACACCTGCCAGGCGCGAAGGCTCCTCTCTGCTCTCAGCCCTTAATTCACTGTCTTACCAGTGAAGGGCAAAAGTGAGGGGCCCAGGTGGGGACACTAAGTGAATCAGGGCTGCGTCCCCAGCAGGTGAAGGTGGGCACAGAGAAGCCTCTTCAAACACTTTTATCTACCCTTGTTCATTCACTCCATAGTTAACTGTGAATCTGAGGCCTTCCTCCCAGGCCACCTTATCTACCAATAAAACGTGCTTTTTTCCAGAATCAGGGAGAGTCACAGGAGGAAGCATGTGTGTGTGCTGTTGTATCATTGCATATATGTTTTCACTCTGGCCGTAGAAAAAATGAAAAAAGATTCCTTTAGCCGGGCATGGCGGTGGGCACCTGTAGTCCCAGCTACTCGGAAGGCTGAGGCAAGAGAATCTCTTAAGCCCAGGAGTTTGAGGTTGCTGTGAGCTGTGACGTCACACACTCTACTGAGGGCGACAAAGTGAGACTCTGTCTCTAAAAAAAAAGGAAAAAGGGAACAAGAAAAAATATCCCTCCTTGATAATCCCAGTCACTCTTAGCACTCTTATCCCTGTCTCCTCTGCCCTGCCTCCAGCCAGCGTTCCCGACTCCCCTTCAAGCTGCCACTTGGCGGCTTCCCGGCACTTCCCTGCCCCTTCCCGGCGCTTCTGAGGGGCTTTATCACGCCGGCTGCAAGGCCTGGGGTCACACACGGTACAAAAACATTAGAAACTCACCCCCCGTGCCCACTCTGTGGTAGTCATGGGTCAACCTGTTACATCCTTGGCGGTCCAGGCCTCGCCCTCCTACCCCAGTTCCTACCTGAGCGCTGCCCACAGCCCCGCCACCCGGAGAAGGCAGCTCCTGGCTCTAGGGGGCGCGCGCTCCACCTTCACAAGGCCGGCTCCGAGAGAATCTGCTTAGCTACTGGAGACGTCACCGAGCTGTAGGCTGGGATTGGATGAGGCGGAGTTATCCGGTTCCAGAGCGGGAATTACCACACATCCTTTCAAGTGGGAGCACAGGACGACGCCTGTGGCTCAAAGGAGTAGGGCACTCGGCCCCATATACCGGAGGTGGTGGGTTCAAACCCAGTCCCGGCCAAAAACTGCAAAAAAAAAAAAA